CTATCTCAAATTAAGTCACAAGCAAACCTGGATTTCATCATCTACACAGGCGTCTTGGAATCAACCCTCCACAAAACCTGAGGACAAGCACACCTGTGTAAGTTCAAAATGGTGCAACTTATAAAGAAAGTATTTATGAAAATTAAAACACAGAGCCCACTAACCCGGCAACCCCACTTCTGGGAGGACATTACCATGGCAAAGAAGGTCTGTAATACTGAAGACAAAATGAATATCTCCAAGTGGAGCTAGCTAAGCAGACCCAGGACAGAACAGATGCCTAGAGCTATTTAAAGATGTTTTCTGGGGCTGAAGTTAAGAGCACTGGCTGCTCTTGTAGAGGACCCAGGTTTGATTCCCACCACCCACATGGTGGCTCACAACCAACTATAACTCCTATTTCAGGGAATCCAATACCCTTTCTGCCCTCTAAGGCCACTGCATGCATGTGGTACACAGACATAAGTACAAGCAAACACTCATACACATAAAATAAAAATGAATATTAAATCTTTAAAAAAAAAGTGTTTTCTGTAAATGAACACTACACACTTACTAAGTGCTAACATCAAACACTCTCAAGGGCATATAAACTAAGTAACTAATGGAGAGCCAGGGCAGGACAAGCTACATAGTGCACTGTACTTTATATAAAGAAATATTACAGCCCACTGGCATTTGCTTGTATCTACAAAGAGAAATGATGAACATATTTATAGGAAACAGATAAAGGCTATATGGGGGGGGGGACCCAAGAGAATTGGAAATTTGGCTTTCCAGACATGCCCACATTATTTAAGTGTTTGAGTCACATGAATATTTTGTCTATATAAACAGAATCCTTAAATGTTGAAAAAATACACAGAGAACTGCCTGAAAGCCAGAGTTCAAATTTAATGATTAGGAGGGAATATTCTCTTAAATTCGATATTGAAAGGCAAGCAAAGCATGTGATGATGCTAAAGTGTGGTTTCTAGAGCAGCAGCCATGGCTGACTTAGTAAAATGCAAAGTGCCCCCACTTCCCTGCCCAGACTCCAGTGGTGGCCAGCAGTCCTGGGGTATGTGCTCCATTCTGCTGCTGCTTCTGTGTTTTCATGTGTATGTGATATACCCACATGTCTGGTGTGTGTGTGTGTGTGTGTGTGTGTGTGTGTGTAAATGCATGTGAAGGCCTGAGATAGATAGAGCTGCTTCTGCGTTTTCATGTGTATGTGATGGACACTGTGTATACCCACATGTCTCTGTGTATGTGTGTGTGAACGCATGTGAAGGCCTGAGATAGATAGATGTCAGGGATCATCCTTGGTTGCTCTTTCACCTTATTTGTAGAAGCAGGTTCTCTCAATCAAACCCAGAGCTCACTGATACAGTTGTGCCATCTCTGCATACCTATATATGACGGGGGGCTGCCACACCCACCCAGCATTTCCCTGGGCCTCTGCTTAGCTCAGCATTTGTCTGCTTGACAATCAAGCCCTAGAGTCCTATGATGAGCTACTAGTGGGGGACCAGCAGACCTGAGAAGGGGCAAGCTGCACAAGCACTGCTGTGCAGTTGGGTTTCCTAAGACACCAGGGGACAGCTCTCCACACAAACTGCCTGCTTCCTACAGTCAGTGTTTTCAAACACATTTCTTCCTAAGCAGTAGCAACTGTTAATCTAAGGATGACCCATCCGAGAAAAAGTTATCAGAGGAACAACAAGCTTTCCAGAACGGAAGAGCAAATAAAACAGCAAATAACTCATGTTAACCTCATGCTTGCAGAGGCTTTCTTCTGAACACTTTAAAAAATGGTTCTGAGAGTGACAGTGATCTTTAAATCTTTAGAGTAAAGAATTCTAGTTAGATGAGGATCCAGAAGCTGAGCAGCTTTGTTTTGCAAGTCCTCCCTTGGGTCCAGTTTTTGTTGTCAGAAACCAACCAATGCATGAACATGTTTGTACAGTCCCTATTTCTCTGAGATGGCTTCATCATCCAGACATGCTCTTAATTCATAATTCATACTTAATTCATTTAAGAACAGGTATGCCGTGCTGGCTAGACTTATGTCAACTTGACACAAAAGTAATCCGAGAAGAGGGAACCTCATCGAGTCTGGCTTGTGGGCAAGCCTGGGCTGCATCTGCTTAACTGATGACTGCAGGGGGAGGGCCCAGCCCACTGTAGACAGTGCCACCACCCCTGGGCAGGTGGTCCTGAGGTTGTAAGAAAACAGGCTGAGCAAGCCAGTGAGCAGTGCTCCTCCATGGCCTCTGCATCAGCTCTTCTTCCAGATTCCTGCCCTGAGCGCCTGCACTGGCTTTCTTCAACAATGGACTGTGATGTGGAAGTGTAAGCAAAATAGACCCTTTCCTTCCCAAGTTGCTTTTGGTCCTAGTGTTTACCACAGCAATAGAAGCCCTAACCAAAACAGGAGTGTTTTTTAAAGTAGTGATTAATAAAAACAAAACTACCAAAAGTATCAGCCTTTTTTTTTTTTTTTTTTAAATCCTGGAAGTGCACAGTGCTTGCTTGGAGCAATAAAAATTAATTACTTTCAATTTAGATGACTTTTCAACTCAAAAGAATGCATTGTATCTGTGATGAGACAACTTTAAATGGATCCTATTCTCACAAGTCTTTAGTTAGATATTGATTTCCAGCACCTTTCTAAAGTAACAAGCGTCTATGGCAAGAAGCAACTCATACCTAAAAAGTAAGTAAACTTCTTTTTCAAACATAAGCAAGTTGAAAAAACTTGCTACACTATAGCTACAAAATGGACTGAGCTCAACTTTCAGCAAGAACTTTGCAGTGAAGACAGCTTTTTTGTGAGCCATCCCAGAACTACTTTCATGGGTAATTTCAGTTTTCACTTTTGAGCACATCTGTACTTTCCAAATTGACTAATAAGAATATCAAAATAGAAAAGGCCACTTAAGTAGGACTGCACCGACTGGTACTCAGTGCCACTCAGTTATCACCATCCATGAGGCTGCTGAAGCTGCCAACTCCATTCTCACCTCAAGCTGCTAGGCAGTTCAAGTGTGACCAACATTCCCAACAAGGACTTCCTCCGAAGGGAAACAGCTGAGATGAACAGGTACTAACACGCCTCCTGAGACTTGAAGATAACCAATCAAACGTCATCAACCAACCAACCAGTCTTTTTTATATATCAGACACATCAGAGAGAATTTTGTTTTTAATTCCCAATGAAAAGTGTGTATTAAATTCTGTTATAATTAGCTAGATAATGGAGTGTGTGCTTTATATAGTAGTTCTCAAGAGTGCAGAACTGTCCCCAAGGTAATCTGTTAATTACTGAAGAGACTCCTAGATGGAAGCAGAAAGCATATGGATTTGGGATCCAGGATCTAGACCCATACAACATATGGGTGGTGGAGGTGATAATCCAGGCTATCCTTACCCATGAGCTCACTATAGATTAACATTACTTTAGGATTCAATACTGAATCATTTGGCAAGATACTCTGGAAAACACCCACCGTCTGCCCCAATTATGAAGGACAAAATGGTGAGAGAATAGGGAACTGTGTGAACTTCCACACAGCACATTTCACCTGCACCCCAGCACTAGGTACAAACGGAGCCGCTACAGCCAAACCAAACAATTCCAATGTTCTATTTCCTTATCATCAATGATAAACACTAGGGATTTGGTGTGGTCCCTTAAATGGCGATAACTCAGAGTTTGTGATGCATGCAAAGGGTGGGTTACAATGTAGCATGGAGTACTGCATTCCTGGAGGCCTGTATTATTTGAGTGTTGACTGAGACAGGCTGTGATTTATCTTGTATGCTGTCATTCAGGCTACACTGTTTTTCATTAGCATCAATTATCCACAGTAAGATGGTTTGCTCAGGTCCCAATCTTTGCTCCTGACTTTGAGACAAATACATGTGTACATATATACATAACATATGTCTGTCTCCAAACATACTGGCCTTAGGGTCATTTGGTCCTAGCAGGGCGTCTGGGCTATACAACGCCACAGCACCTCTTTCCTTTATTTCTTCCTTACACCTAAAGGGGAGGGAGCACTCCACGGACCTTGGGTCATGTTTACAGAGATATTTTATTTACGAACTTCGTGTCAGGGTGGCAAGGTGGGCTTTACCAACTTTTGCCTCAGAAGGAAGAGGCCTTGATCACCAGCATCACAATCACTCATCCCAAGAGTGCGATCTCAGGCTTCTGACAAAAATCAAACTTTTCAAAGTTTGCTTTGCCCGAGGCCAGCCTCGAGCTCTCGGCCTGGCCTGGGACGCCCAGCGCATCCCTCGTCACTCTGGGCACCAGCTCTCACACAGGGCCAAAGGTCGGTTCTGAACACTCGGGGCTAGGGAACCTTCTGGGAGAGGACAAACTTTCTCCCTAGAAACCGGACGCTGCGTGCAATTTCGGGAGGGCTTCCAGACGCACCCTCTGCACCCCTCGGGGGTGCAGGAGGAGAGGCGCGCGCAGGGCTGGGGAGGAGGATGGAAGGTGAGCCCGGGGCGTGGGCCGTCCCCATCCCACCACGTCCCCGCAGTGCGGCTTCGGCCAGGGCGCTGCGGCTCCCTGCAGTGCCAGCGTGGGAGCGCACAAGGAGAGCGCCGGTACCAACCAAGCCGAGGCTGCCGGGGGGGATCGCGTCGCGCCGGCGCGCGGGGACCCC